CAGGTCGCCCAGTAGGAAGACTTCCTTTAGGGTTTAGGGCTTTGCTTAATGGTTTAGGGTTTAGGGCTTAAGGTTTAGGGTTTAGGGTTTAGGGTTTAAGGTTTAGGGTTTAGGGTTTAGGGTTTAAGGTTTAGGGTTTAGGGTTTAGGCTGGCATCGCTTTGGGGCGGCAGCACTAGTAGCAGTAAGGGGTAGTCGTAGTATGAAACAGTTAGTACTGGTGGTAGTAGCAGTACTACTACTACTACTACTACTGCTACTACTACGACGACGACTACTACTACTACTACTACTACTACTACTGCTTCCTCCTCCTCCTCCTCTACTATGCCGACTTGTTCTGGCACTGGTACTGGCACGAGGTCCTGGTTTTCCTCGTTGCTTTCATCGATTGTTTGGTATCTTCGTGATTGAATGAGAGCTGCCTTGAAACATCCTGGAGCAAGGAGGTAATTATGCCCACATGCCACATGCCCGATAAAGGAGGCCGAGCTAGACGTGTACAGACTGCGCAGGACATCCGACGACTGCAGCCGACCTTCCTCTTGGGTACAGCCAGTCTCTTCAGGCCGCTGGGGGCACCGTGCCCTCCAGGGCAGCGGGCTCCGAATCTGTGTCTGCCAGATTCATGGGTGTACATCGAACAGAACAATCGTTGGATATTCTATTATGTCGTCGAGACATGCTTCGAGCCCTTCGAATCAAACTCAAAGACGCTGCCGGTCTGACCGTCGAGAAAGCTGACGTGTGCTAGTAGCCTTCAGCACATTTTCGTCCAGCACTGGTTGGGACTTGAGAATACCAGCTCCGAGACGCAGGAGGCAGATCACCCGGCTGCAGACGAAGCACGTCGGGATGCTTGGAAATTTGAGCGGCCTGGCAAGACAGACGCTGGGTTTTCGGGAAAGGCCTTGGATGGCCTGGATCTTCAGTGATCTTCAGCTACCGTGAGGCTGCAGGGCAAGTTTCGGACGCTGTTTAAGCCAGGTTGAGAATCTTGGTGATTGGACATGACTTTCTGCTCAGATGTGACCCGACATTGACAGCGGCAATGGCAGCCGCTGTCTGAGCCCTACGCTCAATGTTCTTCAACTGTAACTGAGTGTTTGCCGTAACGGGAGCAGGATGTCCGTAACGGAAGCCCGTAACAGCAACCACCAGTTCCTGTAACACCCCCCAGACCTCGTAACGTAACAGGAACCAGTGCGGGGCTCCAAGAATGACTTGTTTCACATCCACCTGCTCTCGTGGGCTCGCCAACTCAGGGACCGCTTTCCGGTCTTCCACTTATACGGCTTCAAAATGTCATGTCATGTAGCACTAGAAACTGACCTCATATGTCCGCAGCACCTTTGTCCTGAATTTCCGATGGCTACAGCATCGGTGTTGCCATCAGCGCTCCAGAATAACACTGCATGTGTCTGATGCGAGTGAAACTGCAAATTTCGTGGCTTGTGTGCACGATCGTAAGGCGAAGAAGCCGTTAACTGCAGTGCTAACTGAGCGTTAACTGAGTGTTAACTATGGAAAACATAGAACAAGCATGTATGCCATGTTGCCGTCCAAAGCCACACCAGACATTTGGCCAAACCACCCAGAATTGTTTGGTGGATGGAGGAAATCTTGCACCGCCCACATGTTGACTCATGATATCGGATCACCAAAACCCCGGGCCCCTTGGTTAATATTGATGATAGTGTGCCATGTGGCTGGTGCAAGATGTTTGTCAGTGGAACCCACGGCCCATCCCAGGACTGGACATCAATGTTAAAGAGGGGGTGCGGGGGAATCGCATTGTTGGTCTAGAATTGTTCCCCTAGAAGGGATCCTGTCGAAGAAACATGGCTTGTTTCGTCCAGAAGGCCCGCACTCCAGAACTTGCAAGCATCTTGAGCGACTGAACGTGAACCCAGGTTACCAACTGCAGCGCTGGGCGCTCAGCCGCTGTCGGGTGGACTCCGAGCTTCCGGACATGGAAGGCGACGATCCGCTGGGGCTGGGGTTGAGGCGTTTGGCTCGCGCTGCTAAGTGCAGGCATTGCGGACTGCAGGATACCTTCTGGCGAGACTAGGCATTGCAGGAATGTGTGCAAGTTTGTAACGACATCATCTCATCATCGTGGGTACTGAAAGAGTTCACGACACGGACGCGAGTCGTATTATCTGTCAAACTTATGCCGGAAGCTTGGTCCAACGCATGTAACGGTGTGCACTTTGGGGCCGCTGCTGCTGCTGTGGTTGATGGTGATGGCAGTGCTGGTAGCGGCCGGGGTTGGCGGTGCACAAACGTGACAATGTAGGTTTCAGACTTTCAGATGAGTGTGCTAAAGTTTTTTTGGATTTCCCGAATCTGAATTCTCTATGGCACTACGGGGAAAGGTCGTGGCAAACTTCACAAGGTCACAAGGTCAAAACGCTTGGGGAAGGTATCTAAGGATTCAGGGCTTAGACCCGAGTTTTTTTGTACAAATGGTTTCGGACGGAGTATTTCAGACCATGTTAAAGCCGCAGTCTGTGAGGGCCTTGCTGCTTCTTGGTTTGTTTGCGTGTCGGATCGGTTCCTGCAGCCTTCCTATGACCAACCTGTGGCCTTCCATTACGCCGTTACGAAGCGAAGATGTCGGAAGCTTCAGGCTTCGAGTGTGTGAGCTCCAAATCCCAAGCCGCCCAAGCCCGAAGGCCAGCTCACGGGCAGCGACCTGCCGAGTGCGAGTTTTATGGAGAGGGTGGCGAAGTGGTGCCTGACGAAGCCCCTCAGCCACTGGCTGAACAAGCCCTTTGCCGCAGCCTTGGTACTGGAACTCCATAGTTCCCTGGGCCAGCACTAGCTACGAGATTCGGAGTGGCAGTGCAGCTAGAGCCGAGAGACAGCCCGAGGATTCTCATGTCCTCGAGACATGTGCGAGAAGCTGTGGTTGGCGGTTCATCTGGAGATTTCTGCTTAGCCCCGAAGCCTGTTGAGGTCATCCCTCGCCATGTGCTGCTGGGCTCCAAGACGAGGCTCCGCTTCGTGTTGGCGCTATGTGACTTGGCTTGGAGGTTAGCTCGTACAGGGACCGAAACTTGATCGCTTGCGGGCTAAGTGACAGCCAAGGTGGTGCTGGCACCACGGCCTTGCCGCCGGTTTCCTGGCAGCCAAACGGGAGGGAATGGATGGGCTTGCAATGGTGCCTTGGTGTTTATTTTGCAGGTTGGAACGTCCCTTCACACTGCCACTGCAGGACCGCTGTCTCTGGATGAGGCTACTTCTTGGCTGCCCTGTGCTGAAGAGCTTCGTCTCGGTGGAGGCGTCTTCGAGTTCGCACATCGGTGAACGCACTCCGCCGTGTTTGGTACCACAAACATGAGAGTCACAGACTCGGGTCAGACCCTGAAGTTTTGAACTTCCGACACCTCAGTCACCTCAGTACAAGCCTACAGGGCCCCTCCGCAAGCGCGCCGAAGGCGGGTGGCATGGTCACCTTGGGTGAGGCCCCCTACTACGGGGACACCTTCCAGGCGGGGCATAGAAACTCAAAGAGGACCCGCTGTCACGGACTTTTGGTACAGGAGAAAGCGCGGGGGTCAGCTCGATGTTGCGGTGGTAGCAAGGAAGAGACTCTCAGGCGTTTTCCGTCGGGCGAGAACTGCCAGGGGTGGAGATGCTGGGTCGCTTTTGAGCTTGCCTTTTATTGTCCATCGCACTTATAATTGAAGCCTCCAGACACTTCACGACTGCTCCAGTCCGCAAGGATGTCGAGCATCCAAGGATTGAGATGCTGAAGCTCAACCTCCCGGCTACTTGGCTTCGGAGTTTGCCTGACCGTCGGCTTTGTGATCCAAAAAGTGGGAACAGCCCCGGCTTCAATCACTTGCACAGCTCGCTGTCTTCTGCAAGGCTGTCGACCCAGACTCCCTTCCGAAAGATTTGAGCTGATTGATCTATATCCCATGCAACGCACATCTCTTCGTTGTTCAGCAAACTCCAGACTCGCAGAAGAAAGCCTGTACAAACAAACAGAGCAAGCGACGCAGATCAAACAACACTTCCAACTGTTTCGCCCATCTCAAACCTCAAGTCAGGGCGAGGAACCATGACAAATGACAGTCAGCCTTGTGGACTCTTGAGAAGCTAAGGAGGATTTTCCTCCGCTCAGCGTGCTCGGTTCTCATGAGGTGGGTTTTCCGAATCGGAGAGAGCAGCTCCCAAACACGGTGGCTTGCAAGAAAGCAGAAGAGGAAGGGCCAAGGCTGTAGAGTCGAATAGGAGGCTAAAGCTGCGGCTTTTCTCTCATCAGAACTTACATCCACCCAAGCCAGAACCGATCCCGTGTCGCAGGCAGACATCGAGCTGGGCACTTTGAAAGTCAAGGGCCTTGCCACGGAGGAGGCCAAGGGGTCACGGGGTTTTGATGAAGCCATTAAACTAGGTAAACAGGGCCCAGGCTCCGGGTGAGGGCTGGCTGCCGGGGGGGGGGGGGGGGGTTGTGGTGGGAAGTCGCCTGTCTCGGGGTTCTTTCAGTGTACGAGCCGAGAATTTGCATTGAAGAGCCAATCGGGTTTCTGACATTCGAGGTGTTGGGGGGCCCTAGGAAGCAATTGTTGCAGGGCCGGGTGCTCTATGGTCTGCACAGTGTAGCATGCAACAGTTCAACAAGGCAACAGCGCCGCTGCTGCTTTATGACGATGCGGTCATGTCCTTTGCCAGATTTTGGGGACTTTGCAATTCTTGCAGAGGCCAAAGTGGGCATTGTGGTTGGCCGGCGCGATCAAGACCTGTTTGTCTATGGTCGCCTAGTGTCCCTGCAGGACCAGCTGCCAGCTACCGGTTTTTCTTTTCATCGGGTCCCAGCTACAAAGTTTTCCTGTCCAGCTCCGTCATGGCCGTCGCGCACTTTGTAAGCAGACTCAGGCGGAGTCATTTCGACTTCTGCTGCCACTGACGCAGGGTACTCGAGGTTTCCCTTAATCGCGTCAGGATTTGTGTTTGCCCCATACTCCACGCAGTGACCGAAAGCGCGAACTCCCTGGTCGCAGGAGTCTTCCCTGAAGCGGGGTGCTCTCTGCGAGGCGTTGGAGCAGCTCCTGCTCCAGGCCTCCAGTGAAGCTTTCTTGGGTTGCCATTGATCAGAGAGATGTATCATCGAAGCTGTGTCACAGAGAGACATGGGGAATAGAGACGACAGTCGTCAACAGCACTCACTCGGTCCTGTCGTTCAGAAGCCGTTTCTCCCTGTCTCTTCAGGTCACTGGCCCTTGGCTGATGCAACTCCTTTTGGTGGCGAAGCCACAGGGAGTTGTCGGCGTGGCTGCCGTGCGCCTTGAGGAGGTTTGGAGGCACGTCGCAGCACGTCCCCTCTCCCAACTTGGAAAGCGGGTTTATCGACAAACTGGAGGGTTGGCAAATCGCTAAAAGTATGCCTTCTACCGTGCGAGTCCACTCCATGGCAGAAATCCAACTACGAGCTTTTT